CTAGAAAAATCCAAGCTATCATGAATATAAATATTTATTCCTATATTACTTTAAAAAAATTAATTAAGTTATTCTAATATGTTATACATGATAGCAGAATGTATTTCAATTCATAGTACACATGTAGAACACAATTTTTCATGTCTCTGGTTACACACAAAGTAGAGTCACATCATTCGTGTCTTCATACATGTATTTTAAGTAATGATGTCCATCTCATTCCACCATCATCCCTACCTCCATGCCCCCTCTCTTCCCCTCCCTCAGCTTTGTGCTATCTAAAGTTCCTTCATTCCTCCCATGCCTCTCCCATCCCAATTATGGATCAGCATCCACATATCAGAGAAAACATTTGGCATTTGTATTTTTGGGATTGGCTTACTTCGCTTAGCATAATATTCTCCAACTCCATCCATTACCTGCAAATTCCATGTTTTTTTTTTCTTTTAATGCTGAGTGATATTCCATAGTGTATATATACCACAGTTTCTTTATCTATTCATCTACTGAAAGGCATCTAAGTTGGTTCCACAGTTTAGCTATTGTGAATTGTGCTGCTATAAACATTGATGTAGCTGTGTCCATGTAGTATGCTGATTTTAAGTCCTTTGAGTATAAACCGAGGAGTGGGGTAGCTAGGTCAAATGGTGATTCCATTCCAAGTTTTCCAAGGAAACTCCATCCTGCTTCTTTCCATAATGGTTGCACCAATTTGCAATATATGAGTGTGTCTTTCTCCCCACATCCCTTCGCCAACACTTATTGTTGTTTGTATTCTTAATAGCTGCCATTCTGACTGGAGTGAGTAGTTTTGATTTACATTTCTCTACTTGCCAGAGATGTTGAACATTTTTTCATGTATTTGTTGATTGATTGTATATCATCTTCTGAAAAGTGTTCAGTTCCTTGGTCCATTTGTTGATTGGGTTATTTGTTTTTCTGGTGTTAAGATTTTTAAGTTTTTTATATGTCTTAGAGATTAGTGCTCTATCTGTTGTGCGTGTGGTAAAAATTTGCTCCCATTATGTAGGCTTTCTATTCAACTCACTAACTGTTTCTTTTGCTGAGGAAGAAGCTTTTTAGTTTGAATCCATCCCATTTATTGATTCTTGATTTTAATTCTTACACTATATGAGTCTTACTAAGGAAGTTGGGGCCTAATCTGACAAGATGAAGATTTGGGCCTACTTTTTCTTCTATTAGGCGCAGGGCCTGTGGTTTAATTCCTAGGTTCTTGATTCATTCTAAGTTGGGTTTTGTGCATGGTGAGAGATAGGGGCTTAATTTCATTTTGCTGCATATGGATTTCCAGTTTTCCCAGCACCTTTTGTTGAAGAGGCTATCTTTTCTCATATATATATATATATATATATATATATATATATATATATATATATATATATATATTTGACAATTATATTTTAATTGTCAATGGACCTTTATTATTTTATTTATATGCACTCTGAGAATCAAACCCTGTGTCTCACACTTGCTCACCTACTGAGCCACAACCCTTTTTCTTTCAATGCTGAGTGATATTCCATAGTGTATATATACCACAGTTTCTTTATCTATTCATCTACTGAAGGGCATCTAAGTTGGTTCCACAGTTTAGCTATTGTGAATTGTGCTGCTATAAACATTGATGTAGCTGTGTCCATGTAGTATGGGTCTTTTTAAATCCAATCCGCAAGTCTTTATGTTTTTTGATTGGTGAGTTTAAGTCATTAATATTCAGGGTTATTATTGAGACATGATTTTTTATTTCCAGCCATTTTTGTTTATTTTTAATATTTAACTTGACTTGATTTGTCTTTTGATTGGTTTTTCCTTTAGTGTAATACATCCCTTTGTGATTTGCATTTCCTCCTCAAGGAATATTTTGTCGAGGATGTTCTGCAGTACAGGCTTTGTAGTTGTAAATTCTTTTAATGTTTGTTTATCCTGGAAGGTTTTTATTTTTTTCATCAAATCTTAAGCTTAATTTTGCTGGATATATTCTTGGTTGGGATCCATTTTCTTTCAGAGCTTGGTATATGTTGTTCCAGGATCTTTTAGCTTTCAGTGTATGGGTTGAAAAATCTGCAGAGATTCCTATTTGGCTTCCCCCTATACGTAATCTGATTTCTTTCTCTTGTGGCTTTTTCCTATATTACTTTCTTTGCCAAGGGATTGACTCAACTAGGTAGGCACAAATTCACCTTAATATCTTTAAAATACCTGATGGTTCCTGTGAATCATATCTTGCCTATATAAGTGATAAAAGCCTATTTGATGTTTCTTTTGCTTCCTAATCCTTGACAAAACTTTATATCTGGTGTATCACTGAATACTTTTGGTGGGAGATAGGGTATGGTTATGAAGTGAACTGTTTATCCACCAAAAAAGTTATGTTGAAGTTCTAACCCCTCGTATACCTCAGAATGTTGCTTCATTTGGAAATAGGGTCTTTGCAGATTTAACCAGGTTGAAATGAAATTGACCCTAATTCAATATGAGCTGCATCATAATTAAAAATGAAAATTTGGACATAGATAAGCACAGAGGGCATATATGAAAATGCCCTGGGGGAAGATGGTCACATGACTGAAGTGATTCTTCTACAAGCCAAGGAACACAGGATTCCTGGTAAACATCAGAAGCCAGAAAAAGGCAAGAAAAAATTCCCCTTCAGAATGACTATGATTTCTAGCTGCATAACTCTGCTCTTGGCATAGATGTTCTTCAACCCAGCTCTTGGCATAGATGTTCTTCGACTTATGTTGGAATTATGTCCTGATAAGCAATTGTAAGTTGAAAATATGGTAAGTCAAAAATGCATCTAAAACATCTACCTTATCAAACATCATAACTTATCCTATACTAACTTAAATGAGTTCAGAACATTTTTATTAGTCTATTTTTGGGCAAAATTATCTAACACAAAAGCTATTTTATAATAAAGTGTTGACTATCTCATGTAATTTGTTGAATACTGTACAAAAAGTGAAATAAAACACCTTTGTACAGGGACTCACCATTAATGTACAATAAGTGTATACATAAAGTATGGTTTCTACTGAGTAAAAGTGGGTTTTGCACCAACATAAAGTAAAAAAATCACAAGTTGAACCATGTGTTAGGAGATGTAATCTGTTATAGTGTCTTTACAAAACTAAGACAGGTATTGTCAATTTATTCATTTTCTAACTACTTTTCTTCACATTAAAGTAAAAGTTGAAGAGGTTACAACTAAATGTTGCTTTTCTATTTCCTTGTGGATCATGAGTTATGGGTTTGAAGAAATAAATGTTGAATTCCTGGGTGAAAATGAATTCATGGAATTATTTTTGATCAATGAGTGAAAAACAGGCTGAGGAGTGATGTACCAATATCATATTGGGGTTCTTTGGCCTAGTGTTTTTTTTCTTTTCATTTTATAACTTCTTAGATTACTTTCAGAGGTTATCTTTGCTAATATCTTGCTTTTAAAACTACCATTGCTATGTTCTAAAGCAATCTATTTTTACATACAGGAATATTAATGCATCTGTAAATTAAACTGCATTCAACTCCTAAGTGTCCACTAATAGAGAGCCATACAGTGAGTGGTTAATTTAGCAGAAAAGTCACAGAACAGGGAGTTCAACTGCTTTATTTCTGGAGGAGGACACTGAGGTCAATGGAGGTTAAGCAGTAGCTTAGTCTTTTGATGCGCAATCTAGAGACTGTACTTATCATAGCCTTCCATTCTGTATCTCAGCACTAGGGATTTAAACATGTTTTAAATAACATCTCATAGATGGGATTATCTGGATCCTTTTCACATTCTCTTCAAAGCCTGTAGCATAGTGAATGGCCTTTTAAAAGTAGTGATAAGTGACTGTTTATTGGGGACAATGCCTGTTTGCTGGATCTCTTGAAGCTGTAACCAAACTTGCTACTGATACTTACATAGAATGTGTTTATATTCAGCCTCTCTATCCCTGTTACAGGTAGGGTGGCATGAAGCCAGTGTGCACGAGGTATATACTGCCTTCCCAGGGCAGAAGCATTCTTTATGGTGGTGGGCTATTAAGGCAGAAGAGATATTTCTAAATCAGGCATCAAACAGAGATTAGTCCTGAGTTTAAGAAGCACATGGACATTTTTATTATGTCCTCATGTCCAACTGCAGCTAGCACATGACTTTGGAAGTACTGGGTTAGGAGGTCATGAGAAAGGTCAACAAACCAAAATAAAAGAGTCTAAGAAAAGCTACTGAGATTTAGAAAAGATAAAACGCATACATGTTTAATAAATGACTTTGAGGCTATTAGTCACTTCATAGCTTGCAGATTCTCCATAGTAGTTAGTGGTTTAACGAAAGTCTATTTAGCTATAGTTACTTAGAGATCTCTCTTCATCTTCATATTATCTCATATATTATTTGCTTCAAATAATAATGTGAAGCCAGGTACAGTGGCACATGCCTGTAATCCCAGAGGCTCTGGAGACTGAAGCAGGAGGATTGTGGGTTCAAAGCCAGTCTCAGCAACTTAGTGAGGCACTGAGCAACTCAGTTAGAACCTGTCTCTAAATAAAATATATATAAAAAAAGGTTTGGGGATGTGGCTCAGTGGTTAATACTCCTGGGTTCAATCTTCAGTACCAATAAGAATAGTAGTAGTAGTAGTAGTAGCAGTAGTAGTAGTCGTAGTAGTAATAGAAGGTTACAAATAGGGAGTTATTGGATAGGGAGATATTGGTTAAAGGGCACAAGAATTCAGTTTTACAGAAGGAACCATGTTTTTGACATCTACTACAAAACATAGTCAATTGTAATATAATGCAAAAATGCCAAGTGAGTAGATTTGAATGTTCATATTACCAAAAAAAAAAAAAAAAAAAAAGAGCAAGCGAGAGAGAGATACGAATCTGAAATAATGGATATGTTAATTAGCTTTATTCAATCATAAGGAATACATTCTTCAAAGTATCACATTATATTCTATAAATGTATACAATTATTATTTGCCCATTAAAAATTAAAAAAAACATTCTGTCAAGAATCATGCTGATCACATTATAGATGTTGTCTTTTTAATGCAATAAAAGCATAAGAAATTACAATCACTCTCATGCATCAGGCACCAAGCAGAGATTAGTCATGAGTTTAAGAAGCACATGAACATTTTTACTATGTCATTCCCGGGGCAGAAGCATAACCTCCCACTGGTTAAGCTCTTGGATCATCTTCTTTATCTGGCCATCAGCTTCAATACAATCCTTTCTTCCCATAAGTCTTAGAGATTTGGTCTGCCCACCTTTCCTCTTTCCAGCTGCCTCCACCAATTCTCCTTTCTGTGATTCATCTTCTGTTAGAATTCTTTAGTGGGATTCAGCTTCCCCTCTTTTCTTCTTTTTAATTATTTCTTATAAAACAAGCAAAACAAAAAAATCATAGAATTTTCAATGAGGATCTCATTAACAATTTCAAGCTATAATATAATAGTATTAACAATTGTTACTGTGTTTCATTAGTAAGAGGTTATTTTTGCTATTAATTCTACCATTCATAATTATATTTGCATATCTTCCTAGCCACTTATATGATAGTGAATAGATTTTTGTTTGAGTCAAAATTGCAATATTTTTACCCCTGCTATTTCTGAAAACTGGCAACTGCCCTCATTTGTCTTCCCCCAGCTTGTAATTGAGAGAGAAGAAAGCTGTTATTGAAGATCACACATATCAACATATACATTTTGAGTAATAAACTAAAGAAGATAGACATGACTATTAATTTCAGAAAAGTTCCCTCAATATTAATTAATTTTTGTTATTAATGAGACTGGCTAATATTTGTTAAGTATGTAATGTTCTAAATGCTCTCCAAACGAAAATTCATGATTATCTACATTTATTGATGGAGAAATTGAAGCATAGAATTTGTTCAAGGATCCCTGTAAATAATGGATCTAAGGCTCAAGCCCAGGTCTGTGGAAAAAAATGAAATAGGCTGCTTCCAAAACTGTAGCCCGGTATCACAAATCATAGTTTATTGTAAAGACCAAATTTTATTTTCTACATTTATTATTCTGCAATTCCTTTGAATCTTATTAATGTGTTTATTATCCTGCAATTCCTTTGGATCTTATTAGTGCTGTTGAAAAATGGATCTCATTTCACTCTAAAAAGCCTGTAGTTAATAGATGGGCTGTTCAGAAAATGAAAAAATAAATTTAGTCATTGTGAGGCCATCTGTTTAGCTCATTCTCATAAATTGGTTTTATTTCTACTTCCTAAAAACTTATAATTGCTATTGTCTTCTGGATTCCTTGATAAATACAAGTAGGTAACACATATATGGTAAAATTTAAACTACACACTAGGTTTTACAGTTCTATTCTTATGAACTTAATCAGGTGAAACCACCTATTTTATTGCAGTTAAGTGTATTTTCTATAGATTAAATCCCTAATGACATCAAGCATCTTGAGTGAATTTATCATGTCTACAGAGATTCCTTTTTTCTATTGTCTTTTTTTTGAAAAAAAAAAAGCAAAAATTCCCCTCCCACATATACTTACCACATTGGCACTGATTTAAAATTGTGTTATTAATAGGTAATTTTATATATAGATGTACTTAGTAAGCTGTGCATAGTTCTTTTCATATAATGGCTCTGTGATTTCAGAATAACTTTTTCAGGAGAGGTTAAAATAAAGATAATTTATTGAACAGCAATATATTCACTTTGCAGTAAAAATATTGCATAAAATGTCCTCATACTAAGGGTCATAAACTTTCTTGAAAAAAGTACTGTTATGATTTATGATTTAGTTGACATTGATCTAACAGGCTTATCTTCTATTCCATTTCATTAGAATCTTTAGATAATTAAAAATGCTTTGAAAAATAGAGTACTTGGGGCTGGGGATATGGCTCAAGCGGTAGCGCGCTCGCCTGGCATGCATGCAGCCCAGGGGGTTCAATCCTCAGCACCACATACAAACAAAGATGTGTCCGCCGATAACTAAAAAAATAAATATTAAAATTCTCTCTCTCTCTCTCTCAAAAAAATAGAGTACAATAAACAAATAAGTAAAATAGGCAACATGGAAAGGTCATTCATAAAAATCCCAACTCCATGATGATACTGAATTCCGAGGCCATTTATTTAGATAGAAGATTATTTTTATCAATATTTGTTCCTACATGAGATTATTATCACCTGTATATATTAGGTTCAAGCTCAAAAAGCTGACTCCCATAGGAAAGAAACTAGTCGAGCTAAACTTGTGGCATTTTTCAAAAATTCAAAGTCAAAACTAAGATTACCCCTGTGGAAGTATTTGCATAATGCTAGACATCTAAGACTGAGCTGAGCAGTATGGTAGCTTATAGCCATACTTGACTATTTGTTTTTGAATAATTGAAATGAAATAATATTAGAAATTCATTTCTTTAATCACAATAGCCACATTCTAAGTTCATAGTATCCATCATCACAGGAAGTCCTGCAGGACAGCACTGATCCAGACAATGTGAAATGCCAGTGAGCGTTTATTTGTTAGGTAGATTCTCAGTATTCATCCAGGTCTCTGGTAACATATAAAAGGAGTAGTGAGTTGTTTTCTCAGGCATGACACATTTAAAGAAGATAAATCAATAGACTGGAACAGTGGCATATACCTATAAACCCAGGGATACAGGAGGCAGAGACAGGAGAATCACAAGTTTGAGGTCAGTCTCAGGAACTTAGGGAGATCCTGTTTCAAAATAAAAAAAATTAGAGAAAACCTAAGTATATAACTTAAAAATTTTTTCAACAAAAATTTCATAACACTTATCAAACACCAGGCACTAATTAGGCAAAGGTGAACACTGTGTGGTTTCTGACCTTGAAAGAATGACAGCCGTGTGGATGAGCTGGAGAAATTTCCAATCATTACAGTGTGGTTTTATTGCGCAATGTGGCATACTAATTAAAGAAGACATCAACTCTGTCTGGAGGACTTGAAGAAAACCTCAAGTATGAGGTGATAGTTGTGTTATTAAACCGTGTTTTAGGATGTGAAGTAGTAACATGAAACAAAAAGCTAAGTTCTTACTGATGTCTAAGTGAATTTGGGAATGACCCTGACCTTGAGGTAGTATGCTGCCCCAACATTCTGTACTATTCTAATGCTACATACTGGATTTTATGGATATAATTTGTCCTAATGTATGTTTTTTATTTTATTTTATTTTTTTAGGAGAATGCTGAAATAACAACAGGAGCTGCTATAACCCAAGTGACATGAACTAATGAAATACTCCCAAGTTCATGCTGCCAAGTCAGGATTGGTGATGTTACATGAGAAACATCAATAGGCTACAGAGATTTTTAAACAACTCTCTCAACACACAGCCTGAGGAGAATGCTAATAATGCTCAAGAGAGTGCTGGACAACAACAAAGAACAGAGGAATCAGGAGGAGAATAGTAAACTATTTTCTCTAAAGAGCTTCCAGTGTCAATGTTTGGGTCTGGAGAGCAATGTGGCTAGGGGAATCTTAGGATGGGCTTGAGGAGTCCAAACAGAAGTAGAAGAAAGGCAATTCCTTAACTTTGTGGGTTAAGCACAATCATGGGTTCCTTCAGTAAAACAGACTGGCAAGCCATTGTAGTATGTTGTATATAACGTGTAGGTCTTTTACCACTTGAGCTGAAGCCCCTGAGGACAGGTGGAAACTTATGTCAGTTCTGTCTCTAAACTTGAGGTATGGTGTCTTGTAGAAGTTACAACCCTTCTTGATGGAGTCAGGCCCAGGAATCAGAGTCAGAAGAAGGACCCAGAGGTGGGCAGAGCAGGCCTGGCTGCTGCCTCACACCACCCAGGTGAGAAAACAGATAAATGATAGTGTGTGTGAACTGCACAAAGTGGCAGCTGCTTCACATTCGCTTTCTAAATCTCACACAACAATCACTCTTGATGCACATTCTAACCAGAAACACATAGGAACGGGAATTCTGAGAAAGAGCATCTATCTGAACCAAGCGGACCCACAGCAAAGTTGCCATTCTCACTGTGGAATGGTTTTTCAGGCATATTGGCAATCTTGTTAACTTCATAAAGTCATTTGTTAAAGGACCCAAGGCTACTTACCTGGAGAGATACTTACATGGAGTGAATTCTGACTATTTTAGTTAAGATTCTGGTGCCTAGAGAGGGCAAAAGCAGATAAGCATCACTTTTTTTTTTAAATTAGAGCTTTATATTTATACATAGTAGTTGGGTTCATCCCAACAAACTCATTTAAGCATGGAAATGGTTTTCAGTTCATGATTTCCCTGCTTTTCCCATTCTCCCTGTCCTCTCCCATTCTCCTTCCTCTACTCTACTAGACTTCCTTTCACTCATCTATGAATTTATATTTGATTGGTTCTTTCTGTTGTCCTATGCATATCTCCCACCTTTTATTTTTTTATAGCTTCTGCCTATGAGAGCAAACATTTGACTTTTGAGTTTCTGAGTTTGGCTTATTTCACTTGGCAAGATGTTTTCCATTTTCATCCATTTACTGGCAAATACCATAATTTTGTTCTTTTTTATGGCTGAGTAGAACACATATATATCACAATTTCTTAATCCATTCATCTATTGATGAGCATCTGAGTTGATTCCATAATTGTAAATTATAATTTTCAATTGTGAATTGTGTTGTTATAAACATTGAGGTGGCTGTATTGCTGTAGTATGCCAATTTTAGATCTTTTGGGAAAATGTCAAGGAGTGGGATAGCTGGATCATATGATGATTCCATTCCTAGTTTTTTGAGGAATCTCCATACTGCTTTCAAAGTGGTTGTACTAGCATGCAGTTCCACCAACAATGTACCAGCATTTATTATCGTTTGCATTCTTGATCATTGCCTTTCTGACAGGAGTGAGAGAAAATCTTAATGTAGTTTTGATTTGCATTTTCCTGATTGTTAGAGATGTTGAACATTTTTTTTCATATATTTGTTAATCATTTGTGTTCTTATTTTGAGAAATTTCTGTTTAGTTCTTCTGCCCATTTATTGATTGGGTTGTTTATGTTTTTGGTAAGTTTTTTGTATATTCTGGATGTTAATCCTTTATTGAAGTAGTAGCTGGCCCAATTTTTCTCCCACTCTGTAGGTTTGCTCTTCACACTCTTAATCATTTCCTTTGATGTGCAGATTTTTAGTTTGATGGCATTCTATTTATTGATACTTGGTTTTATATCTTGTACTTTGGGGCTCTTGTTAAGGAAGTCAGTGCCAGCACTTATATGATGGAATGTTGATCCTATGATTTCTTCCAGCAGTTGTAAAGTTTCTGGTCTAATTCCTAAGTCTTTGATCCATTTTGATTTGAATTTCATGCATGGTGAGAGCTAGGTTCTAATTTCATTTTTCTACATATGACTATTTGGTTTTGCCAATATTATTTGTTAAAAAGGCTTTCCTTTCTCTAAGATATATTTTTGGCACTTCTGTCAAATGTCAGATGGCTGTATCTATGTGGATTTGTCTCTGTGTCTTGTGTTCTGTTCCATTGGTCTTTTTGTCTATTTTGATGCCAATACCATGCTGTTTTTGTTACTATAGCTCTGTAGTATAATTTCAGATCAAGTATTGTGATGCCTCCTGCTTCACTTTTCTTGTAATTTTGTATTGCTTTGGTTATTCTGGGTCTCTTAGTCTTCCAAGTGAATTTAAGAAGTTATTTTCCCTAAATCTGTGAAGAATGTCATTAATCTTTTAATGTGAATTGCACTGAATTTTTATATTGCTTTTGGTAGTATGGCTATTTTGACAATATTAATTCTGCCTATCCAAGAGCATGGAATGTCTTTCCATCTTCTAAGGTCTTCTTCAATTTCTTTCTTCAGTGTTCTATAATTTCTATTGTAGAGCTCTTTAATTATCTCCTTGGTTAGATTAATTCCCAAGTATGTATGTATGCATTTATTTGGTTATTGTGAAAGGGATGCTTTTTCCCAATTTCTTCCTTGGCTAACTCACTGTTGGAGTATGGTAAAGCTATTGATTTATGGGTATTGATCTTGTATCCTTCTATTTAGTTAAACTCATTTATAAACTCTATGAATCTTCTGGTAGAGTTTTTTTTTTAAGTTTTCTAGATACTCAATCATATTATCAGCAAACAGAGGTAGTTCTTCTTTCTCTATTTGTAGTCCTTTGATTTTCTTTGCTTGCCGTGGCTTGTTCCTGATTTTAAAGGAAATACTTTCAGTTTTTCTTTATTTAATATGCTGTTGGCTTCAGGTTTGTCATAAATGGCCTTTATGATGTTGAGTTCCTTCGATCATTAACTTCTCCAGTGTTTTTAATATTAATGGATGCTGGATTTTGTCAAAGGCTTTTCTGCATCTATTAAGGTGATCATGTGATTCTTGTCTTTAATTCTGTTTAAGCGATGAATTACATTTATTGATTTGTGTATGTTGAACCAACCTTGCGTCCTTGGAATGAAACCCACTTGATCATGGTGTGTTATCTTTTCAATGTGTTTTTGCATGCAGTTTGCTAATATTTTATAAAGAATTTTAGCATCTATGTTCATCAGGTATATTGGTCTGTAGTTTTCTTTCCTTGATGTGTCTTTGTTAGGTATTGGTATCAGGATTATACTGGCTTTATAAAATGTATTTGGGAGTGTTCCCTCCATTTCAATTCCATGGATTAATTTGAGAAAGACTGGTGTCAATTCTTCTGTAAAGGTCTGGTAGAATTCAGTCAAGAATCCGTCTTCTGGGTTTTTCTCTTTTTTTTAGGCTTTTAATTGCTGTTTTAATTATATTGCTTGATATTGATCTGTTTAGGTTTTCTATCTCTTCCTGATTCAATTTGGATAGGTCATATGTGTCTATAATTTATCAATATCTTCGACATTTTTCAGTATATTGGAGTATAAATTTTCAAAATAGATTCTAATTATCCTCTGGATTTCTTAAGGGTCTGTAGTGATAACACCTTTTTCATTTCTGATCTTGTTGCTTTGCATCTTTCTCACTCTTTCTTCTGGTTAGTTTGGCTAGGGGTTTGTCAATCTTATTTATCTTTTTAAAGAACCAACTCTTCATAAGCATCATTTTTAGAGATCTTTTTTTTTTTTTTTTTTTTTGGTGAAAAAGTCTAATGTAACGTTAATTTTCACAGCCATAAAGAATTGGCCACTACCTTTTTGGAGGTCAAAATCATACAATTAGATGTAAATTTCTTTATAGGCATGCAAAAACAAACTAAGGGGCATGAAAACCTGACCAGATAAAATTTTTTATGTATTTTTTTGTGTAATCATGAGGTTAAGTAACTCTTCTGTGCATAGAAATGAGTATGAACCACATAACTGTATCTAACTAAATCCAAACTAAATGTATCCCAGAATCAACTTCTCTCTAGCAGCATCTCAATAATGTAGGCAGCATAAAACCAATAAACATTAATGAAAACAGGAATTGAAAGTGACAATGTTTTAAATGATTGTGGTTAAAATTTCTCACTTTTGAAATTTTTGCAGAACCATAAGAGCATATGAAATTATTGTCAAGCTCTCTTGGAGGGGGATCATGGAAATAAAGTGTCTGGAAGTGTAAGCTGTATGACAAATGTGATTCTAGGTCATGACATATCATGACTGGCTGAGAAGCCTCTGAGATTACTACCCATAATACTTAACACAGTTATTAGTATTTAGTCATCTCATTAAAATAGTTGTTGAAGGAAGTATGAAATAAAGTGGGTAGAGAGGTAGAGAGAGAAAAAAAGAGAAAGAAGGACAAAGGAAAAGAGAAGAAAAAAAGCAAAAGAAAAAAGGAAATGATTGGAAAGAAAGAGAAAGAGGGAAGGAAAGGAGAAATATACATAGTCATTCAGACAGATCTTGGACTTAAATCTAGAGAACTTAGTCAGTTCCTTAGGAAATAAAATAAAAGTACACTTGTACTTTGCATATCTATACTTGGTAATCCATAATTAAAAATATTAGACATATCCATACCATGCTCATCACATGGTAAATAAAAGTAATATTTATGAAAGAAAAGTGCTTTGTTGTTCAAAAAATACTTCCATAGATTCCTAGAGTCTTCATGAAGATCTATTTTTGGAAGTTTTGATATATAATCTTTCCTTGTTAAATGATCAAATGTAACCTGTATTAGGGGTTGGGAATAGTTAATTTGGAATCTCTGGATTCCAAAGTTTCCATGGATATAACTCAGGTAATACACAAACATAGATAAGAAAAAAAGTAAACATTTTTTCTACCAACTTCTAACATAATTTATTATTTCCTTCAATACGAATATAGGCAACAAACCACAATAGCGTCATTCATGACATACATTTTCACATCATGGTACTGTTGCCGCTGATATCTCAAAATATGTTTACACTATTTACCACTTAAATTATAGTAGTTATTAAACTACTAGATTGTGTTACTTAAGTGCTTAGCATATTACTCCTTATAATTTTATTGGTTCTTTTAAGTTATACATGACAGAATTAATTTTGATATAATCATACTTGCATGGAATATATCTTATTCTAGTTAGGACCCCATTCTTATGGTTGTACGTGATGGTGGGATTCACTATGATGTGAATATAAGTACACAGAAAATTGTTTTACTTTGAATTTTTTGATAATTCTATTAAAATACAGCTTCCTTTCTAATTCTATTATTTTATTTTATGCATTTCAAATCATCATTATGAAAAAAGATCCATAGGTTGTCAAAGAATCCTTTGGGCATAAAATGAGTCAAGAAACCTTGCCTTTTACAAGGACAAAATGTCTGCCTTCATTGCTCCCTATTTTTTTCTGATTAGTATTCGAGATACTAGTGGGAAAATGGTGCTTACAGGGATAGAACACAAGGTGGCAGCACATCACTGCTTAATTTCTGCAAGTCTGGTTTCCCCATTCCTGGCAGTATCTTGGATGGAAATGTAAATAATAAGATAATTAGAACGGAACACATTTTTCAGAAAATAAATTTTGGTGCTTTTCAACTTTCTAATTGATACTAATTGCTTTTTTCCACATAATATATGTGATAATACACATGAAATTTCTTAGTTTGATAAAAATGTTTCGTAGCTCAAGAGTCAAAAGGAAATTAAGTTAATTATTTTCCGAGCTTTCTATAAATAGGTTTTCTAAGCTTTCCACCCCATTTTCCCCCAAAAGAAAACCCCAAAGAAACCAAAATGCTTATTAAGGAAAACTTTTTCATACTATAAATGACACGATCTCATTTACACAAATTTGGCCTATATCTTCAAAGGGTAATTATGAATTACATAATACCTTTTCCGCAAACATATATCTTTATAATCACATAGTCTTAAATTAAAATTTGTAAGTTTTTACTTATAGACAGAAAGAAGCAAGAGAGAGTCAGCAAGATGATCCTGGGTGTAGTAGATTGCAAAATGGCTGTGATTTCTCATTCCTCCCATGAAAAGGCATAGTCTCTTTCTCTATCTCAAGTCTGAACTGTTGTTCCTGGAACTTGTTTTGACCAGTAAAATGTGTTGGAAGTGACCGTGTGCCACGTCTGAGCCTAGGATTCAAGATGCCTTGGGTGTTTCCTTTTGCTGTTGGGTTTAAGGCTGAGTACTGGTTTGTTTGCATTTTTACCTCCTGAGAAAACATGCCTGTTACTCTTTTGGAAGGAAGTGAAACCGGTGTGAGCAGACCTGGATTTTCCTAGCCATACAAATCCTAGAAAAGTGAGACCTCTGCCAAGAGCCAGTCTGTTTTCAGACACTTGAGAGAGGCCAGCTGAGGACAGGAGACTCCACAGTCTTACATCCCTGACTAGCATTCATTCCGGATGGATGAGCAACGAACATTTAGCCCATTTTAGCCACTGAGTTCTCTGGTGGTATGTTATGCAACATTATTTGTAAGAAAGGTAATCATTGCAAACTGTCTTTTTTTTTTTCTAACTATATATAAAATCATGACTGGTCCAAATGTGTTTTAATGAAATGTTCCTGTGAACTAGCACTCCATTGTATCTAATATCTTGGCACACATGACATTTACTCAAGTGTTTCTTGTCACTTAATAAATCTAGTTTTGACTTTAGGGAGGAAGTCAGGGTAGAAAAATACATTAGGTTTGGAGGGGCAAGGCATATGTCAAAGAGTTAATGTCTGAAATCCTCCCAAATTCATACATTAAAGCCCCAACTCCCAATGTGATGGAATTTGGAGATGAGGTTCTTGGAAGGTAGTTTTAGAGAATATTATGAGGATGGCGCCCCCATGATAGGATTAGTGTCCTTATGAGAACAGACACCAAAAATTGCTCTCTCCTTGAGTGTGCATGTCAAGAGGTCCTTTGAGCACTCAGAAAAATGCAGCTTTCCTACAAGAAGCCAAGAGAAGAGGCCTCAGGATGAAAACCATCTTGGACTTTTTGGCCTCCTGAACTATAAGCAATAAATGTCTTTTGTTTCAAGTCCAAGTCTTTGGTATTTTTCTATGGCAGCCTTAGCTGGCTAATCCAGAAAGGACTGGCCAAACAGAGGAAAATTGATAACTAGCAATTGTTGAGTGTTTTCCAGCATTCTAAAGACAAGCTAGTTTTACTTAGTCCCTTACAACAACTGAGTGAGGTAGATATTATTTATAGGCATCTTCATTTTATTGGCTGGTGAGAAAATTAAGACGGAGAAAGGCTAATGAACTTGTTTATGTTCTTTCAGCTAAAAGTGGCAGAATCAGAATTTGAATCAAAGGTATCTCTTTCTAGAAGCTGTGTCCTTAATTACTATGGCGTACTGCTGAGAAACGGCCAACAAAGCAGGGAGAGAAAGAGACAGCAGAGAATGATTTAAAGGGTGAGCTCAGAGATGATGATAACAATCTGTTGTTTTCTTTCAGGGCCACTTTCCCTTGACTCAGAAAGTTTGCTTCTGAGAAGTGCTTCTCAAAGCTGGTGGCCCCAGAGGCCCCACTCAGTGTGAAATCTCTGGCCTGCAGATCTGCTCAGGATGTTCTACGTGTTTTCATAGCCTGGATTGTTAAATCTCTTCAGGACCCCTTGGAGCCCTAAAGCCGGCTCCCTGCAGAAACATGTGATGAAGACTTGATGAATGCTGTGTGTCTGTTACATTACACACTGCCATGTACACAGGCTGTTTTGTTAAAAATACAAATGGTCAAGTTCATTGTATATAGTAGAGCAAAATTCTACCTGTACTTGTACACACGAATAAGAATGTATTTAAAAACAGCTACCCAGCATTGTTCCCATAGTGAATACATATAGGATAGATTTGCAAATTGCCTGTGTTATTAATTCTCCCCACAAGTTGGCAGGATGACTTGATGATAATTAGGCCTCTCATAAATGATTGGCCAAGTAGAACATCAGAAGTATGGTAGATAAGAAGTTTCTGCTCTCTCCATGTAAGTAAGAAGTATTATGAAATTCTGTAGCATTTTCGTCAGCTAGGAGGCCTCATTGAGCACTACCTCAGGGCCTTCAGATCCAGGGTATGAATAAAAGAAGAAAGAAAATTTCCACAGCTTATTGGGAAACATAGGGAAGTCTGAGAATAGAGAGTGACTGTTCCTGCCAGAAGGTCCCTGTTTTCAAGGAGAGAGTGAATGCTATTGTCATGATACCAGGGTGACTTGATAATAAGGCATTGCTTCAGTGGGTCTGTAGTCCTGGCACGAACCCAGGGGTAATGTGGAAAGAGAGGAGACCAATTAATTGGGTGTGCTAGAAAATAATCTTCTAGTTATATTAGTCTCAGATGCTTTAGCAGCCAATGCAGTAAAGACAGGACATTCCAAGATGAGGTGGAGCAAGCTGCATCTTAGAGAGGGCAAGTGAAGAGAAGCGGACAACACATAGATCAGACACCTCCAGTCCCATTCCAAGACAGTAGGCAAGCATCCATCTAGATCCAGACCCCTTCCTGAGGAGAATGAGGGAAGGGGAGACTCACAGGAATGCTCTCCTGATATGAAATTTGAATGGACTAACTGAATTCTCTGGAGGCTAGGAGTTAAAACAGGAAGTGACCAACATTGCCTTTAATTGGCAAATGTTAATGAGTCGCATTTGCTGCATCCTCTCCCAATGTCCAAGCATGTGAAATGCAAACTGAGCTTAGTAATAGACAAGAGAAATTTATTTCCTTATGAGTTGTGATGAAAAGAAATAAAGTTGCTATATGTTCAAAATATAAGCCATTTCCTACCAACTGTTTAGTTTGCTATACACCCTGAACCATTAACTCATTCTCTCTGATATCTACTTTGTATAAAGTTGACAGAGATTCTAGTAAGAAGAAAAACAATATAAAAATCATTGTATCCACATCTAAATTATCATTTTGAAAGTGTATTAATATATTTGCATTAAGAACATGAAAGATTATTTTTCTAAAATGCAATTGGAAGGTACTACGTATGTACCACATTTGTATTAATTATCTATTGCTACTTAACAAATCACTTAAAACTAAGTGGGTCAAAACCATAGTACTTCTTTATTATCTTAGGGTCAGGAATTCAGAGAGGGTACAAGTATGAGGGCTCTTCGCTGATCTACAGGGTCTGGGTCACATCTAGAAGACTTGAAGGGCAGGAATAGTCCATAGCTTGACTTGAGCTGGAGGGTACACTTCTAGCAGATTGTATCTCTCATATGAGTGACAAGTTAACTCTCATATGAGTGACAAGTTGACTCTCACATGGGTGGCAAGTTGGCTACTCCACATGGCTGCTTGAGTGTCCTCATGACATGTCAGCTGGCTCTCCCAAGAGCGAGCAATCCAATAATTTAAAGCAGAAACAACAATAATTTTTAGGACCTATCTCCAGAAGTCTTGTAGCACCATTTCTACAGTATTCTACTTTGTGTCACACAGGCCAGCCTGATTCAGCATGGAAGGGACTACACAAGGGTATTGTATTAGTTATCTGTTGATGTTACAGATTTCCTGGAAATTGAGCATCTTAAAGCAGCTAACACTTACAAGTTCACAGTGTCTGTGGTTCAGGAATTCAAGCCCAGCTTCGGTGAGTAGTGCTGGCTTAGGGTCTCTTATGAGGCTGCAGGCCAACTGTCAGGGGGGATGCTGTCATCTGATGTTCAGCTGGGGCTGCTGAACTTCTTCCCAACTCCCTCATTTGTCAGTAGGCTTCGGTTCCTTGCCATGACCTCTCTTCAGGTTGTCAACAGGTCCTTCTGACATTGCAGCTGATCTCCCCCAGAGGGAGCCATGCAAGAGATGGAATGAGAGAGTCCAAGATAGAAGTAAAATTTTTTTATACCTAATCTTGGAAATGACATACTATATCAGTTTCCCATCCATGGTATGACAAAGAACCACCAACTTAGTGTTTTAAACAACACAAATTCAACATCTTCCAGCTCTGGAAAGCTCAAGTTCAAAATGGATTTTTCTGTGTTAACATCAAGATACGAACAGGACTGTGTTCCTTTCAGTCTTTAGGAAAAAAATCTATTTCTGTATTTTTTAGGTTCTAGTGGACTTGTAGCTGCCCTTCCTCCATCTTCAAAGCCATCAGCATAGCATCTTCCAATCCCTCCAACTCTCTTCCATCTTTTGATGGCCCTTTTGATGACATTGGGCCCACTCAGATAACCCAGGGTAATTTCTGTAGTTGAAAGTTTTTAATCATATTGAAAATTTTCCTTTGCTATGTGAGGCAACTTATTCACTTTATTCACAAGTTCAGGATGGGGGAATGGGATGTGGACGTGTTTGGGGAACCGTTATCCTACCCACCTCACATACTGTCAATTTTGCTATAGTCTGTGGGTCATAGAGACCAGCCCTCGTACAATGCAGAAGTTTAACTCACGATCATTATGTGGACTATAGATTCCTTAAACTGTATGATCCTAGAAGAGTAAAAAATCACAACTATTCATGTGATTTATTGTCAACCTATAGATGACACTTTTGTGCAGATAAGGGCTTGACATGGGAACAATAGCTCAATTTCTAAACTTATGCCAGAGACAATTATATCATAAAATTAGGTCTTCATACGTTTAAAGAGCACACCATTGTTCCTGGTAGATCAAAGAAAAAGGAGAGAAGCTTTCATGTAAAAATTTTCCAAATAAATTCTAATCTAGTCATATAAATCACCCACTGAGACAACATAAAAAGGCTCCTTTGTACTTAGACCTATCCTCAATTCACCAAACACCTAGAAAAATCAATTTTGTGAAACACCAGTTTTATACAAGGACAAATGACAGGATCCTTTTGCCACTCCCCCCGCCCATCTTCTTTCTTCCTATTTGTATGTGGAGTCTTTTCCGGAAAAAAATGTTTACCCTATTTTCCTTAATTGACTGTGTTGACTAGCTCATTGGGAGAATATTCCAGGAGAGTTATTTTAATTTTAATGGCCTTTCTACATCCTTGCTCACAATCCCATCATTAAAGCACAGTATAGTTCTGGGAGATGTGGCTGGGAGAATGCTAGAAATGCTGTTAGAGAGAAGAGTACTTAGAGTTCACTATTTCCATTTAAACTGATGTACATCGTTGTGGCAGGAATTAATGTTCCATATGAAGAGCATCATGAAGCAGCTCATTTAGTAATCCTGAGTTACTAGGAGATTGCAGGAGAAGAAGGCAGTCCCTCCTCTTTACTTCCTTGAGTTTTGCTGTTTTCCTTAACAGATAATGGCTTTAAGGGATCTATATTTCAATTTTGTCCAGTTTTTTTTCCATTGGTTCATCACTTTCAGACAAAGATTCTTACATTTTTGCATTTATTTATTCATTCACTCAAGAAATCAGAGTGAAGACCTTGCACATATGAAGAACTACATTCGGAACTGGTGCAAGGCCAGGGCTCCAAAGACTGACTTAGCATGACTCCCTTCCCCAGAGGTCCTTTACAGTTACGGTTAATTTGTGGCACAAGTGCCATCACTACTTTCATCTTTGTGTCCATGGAGACACTGGACCACAGGACCCTTTTCAAATGAACTTCAGAATTCTGACCATGGCACTTGCAGCAGCTACTATCAAAAAGAAGTTTGCAGAGGAAAAATAGAAACATTCAGATCATCACCAATTTGATAATGTTATGAGCACCACTGAGTTAAAAAAAAAAACAAGCAAGCAAACAAACAAACAAAGCCTCCTAGCTCAATGAGAATCATGTATTCCTGCCCTTAAAGAGAGAGTTGACTAGAATTTTCAGTAGAAGGAGCTACAAAATGCTTGTAAGGAGGAGAAAGCATGTGGTACATATTCACAATGGAATATTACTTAGCCATAAAGAAGAATGAAATTATGGTATTTGCCAATAAATGAATAGAACCTGAGAATATCATGCTAAGTAAAATAAGCCAGTCCCTTAAAACCAAAGGCAGAATGTTTTCTCTGAAATGTGGTTGCTAACCTACAACAAAGGAGGGGAAGATTAAAAGTTCATTGGATTAGACAAAGAGGAATGAAGGGAAGGGAATGAATGTTAGGAACAGAATGTTATGAATTGGACATATCTTTTTTATCCTTATATATGAATATATTACCAATGTAACTGCACTTCATATACAACCAAAACAATGGGATTCTAACTGGAATAAGTTATATTTATTCTATGTATGTTTAATATGTCAAAACACACCCCACTCTATAGCTAGAAAGAATGAAATTAAAAAAACAAAACACTGGGAGAGAGGTAAACAAATGTAAATGCTATACTAGTATCGCATTCAACAGAAGAGATAAAAAAGGGGGTGATTGCTGATGCGTGCCTACAGTGTGCCAGCACTATGCTAGATTTGTTACTTTATTATATCGATAATGTTATAAGCACATGTCCGTGTGAATGAGGTTAGGAAGCTTGCTCCTACCACACATTTGGCAAGTGATGGCAGCTGGATTTCTGTTATTCTCAAAGCCCACCTCTTGTAACTACTAAGTGGTCACGTGAAGCAGGTTATAGAGAAACCCAAATCGGGCTGAAGGAAACACAATGCACACATACACTAGTACATTTGCTCAGGTGCTGCGGAGAGCAGTTCAACATCGATGCTTTTTTCAGCTACATATCTCACCCAGAAGTTGGCGTCCTAGACATGCTGGATTCACTAGTTTCTTGCCAGCCCAATGTTATAAGACAAATTATTCCATTTCTAACATTTCTATGACTAGTCCTTGACTGAAAAGAGGAATCATTGAAACTTCCCAATATGCTTAAGAGAGGCAGGGTAGTTGAATGGGGGAAAACCTAACTATTGAAATCAGTTAATCTCTTGATAACCAAGAAATCTCAAACACATCATTAATGTGTTTGGAAAAAAATATATAAATCAAGTCTGATTTTCTTCCCTCTTATGAAGAGCTTTACCTGTATCTTTGTTATTTGGAACTGGAGAGGGGGAAGTTTGAGTTGATACCTAAAGGGAAGGAAAGAAAAAGTATCTGCTGGTTTACTTACTTGCTTACTCACTTATTCATTCAAAAGATATGTAGTAAGCTCTAATATTGTTCCAGCCACTGTGCTGTTTTTTTTTTTTCTCCTCATTTAAAGGGAGGCTTTGGGAAAAGCATTTTTCTCCTCATTTTATGTATGAAAAAGTAGAGGAGTCTAAAGGATCATGAAGAAGCAGAGAAAGCATTGCACTTGGGGGTCAAGAAACTAAAGTTCTATATCAACCTTTGTTGCCAATTCACTGTGGGACCCAGGACGAAAGTCAGACCCTCTGTGATGAATTTTCTCTTTTAGAGGGAAAGAGATCTGAAATACATACCCTTGAAAGCAACATGGCTCCCTTTCTATTTCCAATTTATTTAATTGTTACAGATCTGAATGTTTGAGAGCATAGTGTGTGTATTGTTACAGACCCCTGAGAGAGCAACCTGGCAATTGTATCTAAATTACAAATGAAATTGCTTGGCCCAGGTATTATATATCTAGTAGCATATCTTTCTCATGTATTTGCAAATACTCAAAAAGACATAGGAAAGATTATTCTCTGTAGAATACTTGTACAATATTTGTCCCAAAATTTTGGGAATGACTTCAACTGAACACTAGTTAAATAAATTTTAACTCATGATGCAACATTAAGAAGCTTTAAATAAGAAAGTTCAAGCCCTTTGGCTATTGAAAAGATCTCCAAGGTAAGGTATAGAATACCATGTGTTATAAGTCATCATTTGTCTAAAAACTGGGTAATAGC